ACTTGGAAAACTTTTCTGTCGCGAACGAAGAAACTTTTTCACTAGTCTTGTCGTGGTTTTCTTTTCCGAACAATTCTGTTTTCGAGTTCGAAAAGAGTGTAACAAGTTTTAAACTTAAATACATACAACTTTCGGTGGTATGATCTTTTTCTCGTTGGAAAACATATTGACAGTATTTACGAGCAAAGTTTGATAAAAATTTGACAATAATAGTTCAGCTTTCCTCGCCACATATTCCATCTTCATCAAGATTTAAAACATGAAAGAAAATATATTTCCAATGAGTTTACAATATTTTTCTATGAATTGAAATTAATATTTTAACTATTGATAAAATTAAAGAGGAATATTACACAATTTTATACCTGAGATGTCACACATGCAACAAATGTGACAATGTGTTAGCAAAAAAAGAAAAAGGATTAAAAAGAATCAAAATACGTTTTGCTTGAACATTTGGTTATGTAAAAGCATATTGTCAAAAGTCAACCAGTAGATTTCTGTTGAAAGTTGAAAAGGGTTTTATGCAAATTTAAATTTCCAAAATATTTCACAGAATCTCTCCTTCTTGAAGAACAAAGAAACTCATTAAATATCGGTTTAAAGACAGCTTCCAGCTTTCAGCCAACATTCCATCAGCCAACAAACGACACCAATTGAAATACCTGTGCTTGCACAGCTGCAAGGTATAGTTGCGTCTCCCCGAGTGCAAAACGCTTCATGGAGATGTCCTCTTGCAACTCGGCCACTTTCGTGTACAGATTGCTTTCAGCGCTCCTGCAATTAAACAAAAAAGAAATTCCGTTTAGCAAACCCTGATTTTCCAGAGATTAAATCGTGCTACGGTCGCGTTGAATTTCGAAATTAAATCGGGTTGGGAGAGCACAAGAAGAGGTCGAGAATCCCTCTACCTTTTCCTTTATTTTTAATAAATTGAGAACCAGAAAAAAAGGAATGTAAAAGTAGAAACAATTATAAATATACCTTTCTTTTGTTAAATATATTAATTATTTCTACTCCTGTTCCATGACTACAATCAATCAAAATTCACCTTATTGCTTTTCTAAATGAAAGATTCTATTAGTCTAAGAATATATTCTAATCTCTGAGGGATAAGAAATGATCAGCCTTGACTCTTTATCATCTTCAATCATTGATCTCAAAATCATTGAGCTGATCAACAACTGATCAATATCACTATATTTATTTAAATATATTTAAATATATCTTTTATATCATTTATAAAAGATTATATATATATCTCATATATATCTCAAATACATTTGAATATATCTTAACAGAAATGTGAACAGAGATGTATTTTAACAGACCATATTTAACAACAGATCAGTGATGACCAGACAAACGTTCATTTCATCTTATTACTAAACCTACATGTGCCTCGTTTCTGAACGACTGAAAGTTATAACGTCAATCAATTATCGATCAATCGTCGATTAAACGTTGCGTTGTCAAAATATACATACTCGTTCAATGTATGTATCATTAAATTTACACAAATGGTGTATTCATCATAAATTGATGGATAAATACGCACTTTCGTTGCATGCGAATTAGCGCATCCAAAGCGTCCTGGAGTCGAGTGATCTCTTGAGTAAGACTATCGTATTCCCGTCGTAAATCTTCCATCAGGGGCAGAGTGCTTGTTCCTGTTGGGGCTAGCTCGTCCCTCAGGGAAGGTATCTGATTGATTCTTTCCATAGAAACCTGTTCAGGAGGGCCAGGTGCCACGAAAAGCCGCCTCGAGGGTTTCTTGGACGGGGTTGCAGTTGCTGATAGATTTCGTGCCAAGATCTACATGATAAATTTCTATTTAGTAGCGAAGCATGAATATCGAGAGACTCTCTATCTATACACCCATAAAATATATAAAATGAAATACTTATTTTTAAACTTTATATATTATACTATATTTTATACTTATTTTTAAACTTTTTAAGTGACACATAATACAAAAAAAGAAAAAATTAGAAATAGAAAAAGAAATCTAAAAAAAAAATCTCACGAATGGAGAGATTTAGCAGCTCTTCCAACTGGAAATCTCATCATTGGGTCTTGATTCACTCCCGACAGGATGACAGGATTTGCTTGCCATTCGTGTATGAAGTGAATCCAATGTGTGTGTGTGTGTCGAGAAATATGGAATCGCAAAATACATGGAACAGACATCAGGACATACTTGCAAATCGTTCATAGGCACGACAACTTGAGCCTCTTTGGCAACTGCCTGATAACGCTTTGTCTGCTCCCTGGCCCGCTCCGCGGCAGCCTCCGATATGCCAACCATGCATTTGCAAGCCAATCCGCATAACTCCTCGTAAACTTCCGCTATTTCGCCAAGAAGGCCGGGCAGGCATTGCGATTGATACCGTTCTGTGATGGCATTCGTGGCTCTCAATTGAAGAATGTACGCGTTATGCGCCTCGTAGTAGGCGCGTTTCAGCTCCTGCTCGCTTCCGCCATCTACCGTCAGCAGCGCTGCGTAAGCGCGTTTGTAATCCGCTCGGGCACGCTGCAATTTCTCCTCGGCCTTGGAAACCACCTGTTCGTAAGCTTCTCTATGAGAAAATACCTGAAAAACGTCGATTCGATTCTCTTTTAATAATTCGGCTCGTCATTTGTTGTCTATTTTTGCTTAATTTTTGAGAAACATTGTAATTTGATTTTCTTTCATAATTCGGTTCATAATTTATTTTTTATTTATTTTTGCTTAATTTTTTAAAAACATCGTCGATTCGATTCTCTTTTAATAATTCGGTTCGTAATTTGTTGTCTATTTTTGTTTAATTTTTTAAAAACGTTGTGATTCGATTTCTTTTATAATTTTTGCTTTTTTTGAGAAACGCCGTAATTTGATTTTTTTTAATAATTCGATTCGTAATTTGTTGTGTATTTTTGCTTAATTTTTGTTTCACCTAGAAATTCGAGCGAGAGATGGAACGTTAAAAATTTTGAAAAATTTTTTTTTATCTTGATAAGAATGATGGTTCAGATTAAGTTTTGCAATTTTCCAATTGTAAAGATAGGATATCGAAAATTATGAACAGCTACAGCAATTATAATATGCTGATTTAAATTTTGCAATTTTTCACAACTTTTTTGTAAATTTTAATGAAATAATCAGTAACATTTTTATTGGAGATTTTTACTTTTTACTTTTTTTATTTCTAACGAGAGAGATTGAGACACGAATGAAATTGCAATTGGAATATTAAAGCTACCAATGATTTTTAATCGATGGATATTTCCTAAAACACGATTATCACGATTGTAAAATGTGAAAAGTGAAATTTTATTCGAAATATGATTTTAAGTAATAAGAATTCGAGCGATCTTTTGTCAGCAGAAGGAAAACGAAAAATAAATTACCTTTTTAGACTGGACTTTACGATGAAAGCTGGCTTCCAAAGTGGGTCTGGACAGCTGCTGTTGGAGGACTGCGGCCAAGTCTAAGTGAGCTTCTGCATCCGATTGTACCTGGCGCAGTAAACTTTCCCAAACTCGGCGCATTCCTCCCGAATCGACTCTGGTCTCCCCGGATCGGCTACGAAATTCGTCGACCAGCCGACGAACGTTCACCGAATGGCTCTCCATCGCAGCGCCCAACTCTTGAGCGAATTCTGACACTGTGTTGGCAAGGAGAAAGATCGTAATATATATATAAAATTCAGAAGATCATTTGTAGCATCAAAAAATGATATGTAGAAGTTAGAAGAATGAGTGACAATTTTTTAAAGTCGTGTAATTACTTTAATATCAATGATGATAAATATTTTAAATTAATTCTAATATATGACTTGGATGTTAACTTTTTAAAGTTATTTAATTGAATATTAAAGTAATCCATGATATTGAATAATAATTTTCTAAAACCACTTAAATTTAATATTAGCAGTGATAATTAAATTAAATAATTAAATAATTAAATTAAAGTCAAATAATATTGATTGATTGATATCCAGCATTGTTTTTTTCAAAATCATTTAATCCCAAAGTAATTCTTCATATTGAATAGAACTTTCTAAAGTCATCTAGATCTAATATTAGCAATAATATTAAATAATCAAAGTCAAATAATATTGATTGAAATCTAGCATTGCTTTTTTTTCAAAAATCCTTTAACTATATGTATATTGAATAATAATTTTTTAAAATCATTTAATACTAGCAGATCTAATACTAATAGTGATGTTAAATATGTTAAATGTTCAAAATTACATAATATTGTCTGATTAATATCCAACATTGTTTTTTTCAAAATCGTTCAATTCCAAAGTAATCCTTGATATTCAATAGTAACTTTCCAAAACTATCTAATATCAACAATGATGTTAAATAATCAAAGTCACATAATATTGTCTGATTGACATCCAGCATTGTTTTTTTCAAAAATCGTTCAACTATATATATTGAATAATAACTTTTCTAAAGTCACCTAGATCTAATACTAGCAATGATGTTTAAATAGTCTGTTAACAATGACTGATTGATCCAATATTTCAAAAATCTTTTTCAACTATATATATTGAATAACAACTTTCTAAAGCCACCTAAATCCAATATAGATCCAGCATAATATTGATGCAAGTATCAATCAGCATTGTCTTCTTCAAAATCGTTCAACTTTATAATATTGAATTTTAATATATAACATTGAATTTTAAAATAATCCTTGATATATTAAAATAAAATTGACTGATTGATATCCAGCATTATCCTCAAAAATCTTTTTCAACTATATATATATATATATATATA